ATGATATGTTCAACTCCAAGAGTAGAAGGTTGAAATCATAGAGGAAGCAAATATATATATATATATATATATATATTATATATATATATATATATATATATATATATATATATATATATATATATATATATATATATATATAACCTCAAGTTATAAAAGAAAAAAAAAGATTTGAAAGCGACGATTATGAATGGAGAATCTAATGTATGTGGTACATGTCATGTTTGTAGGGTATTTTAGGTAAGGGGTTAATGACCTAGGAGGGTAATAAGGTTTTAACTTTGTCCACATAAGGTCCTTAATGTTTTTTTTGTACATATTACACCAATATGGTTGTTATAAACCGTTTAAAAATGGTAATAAGGTTTTAATTTTGTCCATATTTAGGTTCCTATGGTCTTTTTTTGTACATATTATTACACCAACATGGTTGTTATAATCGTTTTAAAAAAGGTAATAAGGTTTAACTGTGTCCACATTAGGTCCCTATTTTTTTTTAATATTTTTATCATTTCATCTAACTCTTTTACAATTTTATATTAGTATCTAGTTAGATGGCTTCATCATTTAATCTTTTCATTTTAGTCGCCCATTCACCACAACCACGATTTCAATCGAAATGTTACATAGCAATATTTTTTTTTCATTTTTATGAAAAAAAAAGCTAATAATAATGAAAGTCTTAATGATTAAGACTATGTTTGGCGCCACAGCTAGCTGATAAGCTAGTTTATTTTTCGATATTTTTTAAGTTGTCATGTTTGGCAAGCCAAAAAGTAGCTTATAAACTAGAATTTTAAAAAGCTACTTAGACTAGTTTTTTTAAAAGTTTTTTTTTATTTCCAAATATACCTCTTAATTAATTAAGAAAACATATTTTTTAAATGTCATTTTATGTCATTATATAAATTTTGGATAGCTTATAAGCCAATGGCAGAGCTAGAGTCAAAGTAAAAGAGTATCCCCGACAAGTAATGAGGTATCCCCGATAAGTAATTGCCTATCGGGGATACCCAATTGGCGAAGCCATTACCTATCGGGGATATCTCATTACTTTTCGGGAATACTCTTTTACTTTGACTTGGCTCCGCCACTGGCTTACGTAACATTTTGATTGAAACCCTGGTTGTGGTGAATGAGCGACTAAAATAAGAAGATGAAATGATGAAGCCATCTAACTAGATACTAATATAAATTGTAAAAGAGTTAGATGAAATGATAAACATATTAAAAATAGGAACCTATTGTGGACAAAATTAAAACCCTATTACCTTTTAAACGGTAAAAACAATCATGTTGGTGTAATATGTGCAAAAAAAACATTAAGAACATAATATGAACAAAGTTAAAACCTTATTACCTCCTAAGTAATTAACCCTTTTGGTAAGTATACAAAGGTAGTGTATGTAATACTATGTAAGTATGGTGATGAGTTGGCATGGTGTTAGAGTTTGTGGTATATTTTATGTTTGTAGGGCATTTTAGGAAAATGGTTAATGGATGTGTATTAGTGTGTAAGTCATTTTTAAAATAAAGTAAATCACATTTTGGTTATATATATATTTCCTTTCGTAAATACTAATTTCTATATCGTAACAATTTAAAACCTCGTCTTATATGGTTTCCCGATTGTAAACAAAGTGCTCTCTTGACTAAAAGGAAACAACCGAAAAAAGATCTTGAACAAGTTTCCCAAACCCCCATAATTTCTGATTAATTGCAAAACCTACCCATTTGTGTACAAAGATTTCCAAAAGTACATGTCATCTCATTGGATAATGTGAGAATTATAATCGCTTTTTATAATGAAAATATCACCAAGAATATTTCAATATATTTTCTAATAAAATTTAAAACATCCTTGATTAATTTAGAATTAAAAAATGTGTATCATTAGTTTTTTAGAACGAATGAATAATTAATATACCATGTTCTAAAAAAATTAAATATAAAAATCATTATTTACGAAAACGATTGTTAAAAATAAGCAATCATTTTTGTTGATATAATTAATTATATCTAGAAAGCTTGTAATATCATTTTTTATGTCTATCTAAATAAAAAATTATTTGAAAAACTTGTCAATAAAGAAATGAATAATACTGCAAAATTTATAGACATAACATAATTAATATAGGCTTACCCTTGTTATCCAATATAACAAACATTCCAATATTATTGCTAACTTTATAATAACAAATTTGTAAAATATATTGCAAGCGTTAATCGAGAATATTAGATAAGATTCGTTTAAGTGAAACATTCAATTTTAGAGGGGAGCTATTGTATAACTCCATAACAAAAAGGGGTGCTATTGTGTGTGATTAGAAATGTTAGGGATATTTTTTTTCAATTTCCAAAGTAAGTTGACCTGAGAGTCTCCCTATATATATTCCACTTCTCCGATTATTCCTTGCAATCAAAAGAAAAAAAAAACCAAATCAAAATAATGGCGAAGAGGAGTTTAACAGAGGAGTCTTGTAATGATTTCAGAGACAAGAAAAGGATTCGGATATCGCTGGCGGAGAGTACGTCTCATGGGTTCAACGACTTCTGTTTTTCCGGCGATGACGACGATGAATACGAACAAGAAGACTGTGAAAGTTCAGTGGGGTCTAATCATCCGATTTTTGATGTCATACTTATCTCCGACAGTGAAGACGATGAGGTTGAATCTCCATCCTCTAAGATCGATATTTCCAGCCATGAAGATATCACCGGCGATGAAGACACACAAACAGGAATCACACTATTCCGGTCGCCGGCGGTTGCCGAGAACCAGTGCGGTGAAATCGAAGTAACAGAGAAGAAACAGAAAGAAGGCGAAGAAGAAGAAGCTGGGAATTGGTGGGTGGAATTCGGTTCGATGATTGTTGATAATAATGGCTTTCTTTTAGGCGAATACAGAAGATTGGATGAAGAGCTTTACGTCAACATAACTGCCGATTCTTGAATGTTTTTGTATTTGATGTTTGTTATGTAAATATTTGAATAGATTATGATATATGACGGGGTTTTCTAAAGATGCATGTCTTATTATTATTATTATTATTGTTATTATTATTTAAAGTTGTTGGTAATTAAGTATTTGATCAAAAGTATTATTTAGGACAAAGTTGATATTTCATACTAGAACATGTTGATGAAATTCAGCATTAGTGATATCATGTTACAAATCATGTTCAATTGATTGACCAATTCAAAGAATAAGAGATCATTTTGCCCAAAGGATTTTACCATATTGTTTGTTATTTAACAGATGATACCCAAATGATACAAGAGATTATACGCCCTAATTGTGATTGATCATAGTAAAAACTAAAAATATCTAATGATGAATAGTTATTAAAAGGAATCCCGGACTATACGTTAATACTAAAACTTACACTCATATTTATTTCATCGTTAATAAATACTTTTATTACATATCAAATCAAATGTAAATGATATTATATATGCACAAGATGAGCAAGTTCGATTGAAGAAGTTATGTTAGCAAATTTGTGTAACCAAATATCTTATATAAATAATAATGTACTATATATTTGTGAATATAACAATTAACAAAAAATATAATTTATCTTTTTTATCTTAAACTTTCGGGTTAGCTTGTTACGAAAGTTCTAAAAAATAGTTATGTAAGTATATATAAGAAGTTTTATTTATCTATTTATTTATTTTTCTAAATAGAGGAAATTGTTAAATATAATACAATATAATTTATTGTGACAAGATAAATAGAAATTTTGATTTAGTTTTTGAAATAATATATTTCTAAAGCAATATGATAAAATCTCGGAGGCAAGTGATTCACTTGTTCAGCGAAAAGTTAGTACATGCAGTTATTAAAGTAGTACAATATATAAATAGTAAATAATTTTACGTAGTTCTTTTTCTTTCTATAGTAAATACGAAATATAATTTCCTAATTTAAAACCTCGTATTGTATGGATTCCCGATTGTAAACAAATAGCTTTCTTGACTAGAACGAAATAACCGAGAAAAGATTTAGAAAAAGTTTTGAAAACCCCCATAGTTTCTGCTTAATTGCAAAACCTACCCATTTATATACAATGATTTCCAAAAATATATGTCATCTCATTGGATAATGTGAGTCGAGAGATGGTGAATTACAATCGGTTTTTATAATGACAATGTTATTAACAATATTACAACCTATTTTTCTAATGAAATTCAAAATATTTTAGAGTTAAAAATTGTAGCAATACTTTTTTTAAGAACGAATAAATAATTAATATATCATGTTCTAAACTTTTTAAACATAAAAATCATTATTTACTAAAACGATTGTTACGAATAACTCGTCACTTGTTGTTGTTGATATACAGTTAATTACTATATTTTAGAAAGTTTGTGATATAATGTTTTATGTCTATTTAAATAAAGAAATATTTGAAAAACTTGCCAATAAAGAAATCAATAATAGTTCAGATTTATAGTCATATAACGTGTTTACCCTTGTTAATATAAAAAACAAACATTCCAAATTATTGCTAACTTTTATAAAACAAATTTCTAAAATATTATCTATTTTATATAAGAAAGTGCAAATATGATTGGATGCTCTTAAGATGAGAAAAAGTATTTATACTGCCTTTAAAATTTTCGTTTTTGCATGACACATTAATCAAAGTAAATTTACTTTTTAAAAGTTGTATATATTTTTAAATTGATTTTTATACACTTGGATACCTAATGATTTATGATTATTATTTATCTGTTTATTAGAGACAACTGTTTAACAAAAACACTTACATATAATATGTAGTCATTCAATATTTAATTTCATATATTTTTCATAACGAAGGGGGTCAGGTTGTTAAATTGAAAATTTTAGGGACGTTTTCTGACATTTCCGAAGTTTCGAGTACGCACTCCGCACTCCGCAGTTGACTTCAGAGTTTCTCTCTATATATTCCTAATTCCTCTTATCCGATTCTTTCCTCCGATAGAAAGAAACCAAAAACCAAATCAAAACAATGGCGAAGAGGAGTTTAACAGAGGAGTCTTGTAATGATTTCAGAGGAAAAAAAAGGGTTCAGTTATCGCCGGCGGTGGGTACGTCTCATGGCATCAACGACTTCAGTTTTTCCGGCGATGACAGCGATGAATACGAACAAGAAGAGTGTAATAGTTCAGTGGGGTCAAATCATCCGAATCTTGAAGTGATACTTCTCTCCGGCGATGAAGACGATGAGGTTGAATCTCCATCCTCTAAGATCAATACTTCCAGCCATGAAGATAGCACCGGCGATGAACTACAAGAAACCAAGACGAGAATCACACTATTCCGGTCGCCGGTGGTTGCTGAGAACCAGTGTGGTGAAATCGAATTACCAGAGAAGAAACGGAAAGAAGTTGAAGAAAGAAGAAGAGTGGAATTGGTGGGTGGAATATGGTTCGATGATTGTTGATAATAATGGTTTTCTTTTAGGTGAATTCAGACGATTGGATGAAGAGCTTTACATCAACATAGCGTAATATTTTTAAATGGTTTTGTATTCGATATTTGTTATGTAACTATTTTAATAGATTATAACATATGATGAGGTTTTCTGATAATCTGATAGATGCATGTCTCGTTTTTTTTAGAAGTTATTTGTTAAGTGAAGTATTTGATTGAAAGGTAGGATTGATTATTTGTTTATATTTCATATTAGAATTAGAATTTACTACGTTTTATAAGGCGATCTTGAAATATTTTGTTTTAAACTCATAATCATCACATTTAGATATAGACGGTTAAATCAAATATATATTACCCTTTAATATTTGCTTATTTACTTGATAGTTTTTATATATGATCTTAGAGTTAATGTTGTTTTAAAGTGACCAGTTTACTAAAACATTTTTTTTAGTTTCTAATATTTTTTGTTGTTAAAAGTCCCTTGACTTGATCTTTATATATCATATCACTCTTTTTACGTCTTTTCCTCCGATAATGTGATTATTTTTTGTTATAATATCATATTGCCGGCCTCATCATCTCCTCCATCTTCCCTCTGTCACCACATTCCTCTTACAAAAAATGAAAAAAGTCTGGTTAAATGAATTCTAGTTAGATATATGTGGTGTATTTTGATAGATAAATACGGATTTAGAATGATTTTTTATGTCAAGACAATGGGAAATTCAAACCTAATAATATGATATTGTAGATGGCTCCAAAAACTCAAAAACTTTAATACCATCAGGAAAAAAAAATTATTTTTTATGTCAAAACTACTTATGTTATTAATTCATTTTTGCCTTCCTATAAGATTTTATATATATAAGCTAATTCTAGCAAAAAAATAGGGGGTCAACTCGCCCAAAATAGAAAAACAAACATTTTATTTGACAACAAAATACTTTCCCGAAATTTGAATCTCTTTGGCCTCAGTCATTAAACTTTTTTATTTCTTAACGAATCTGAATGATGAAACTTGTGGTATCAAACGTGTGACAAATTTATTTTAATGTTTAAATTTATGGATGACACTATATATATATATATATATATATATATATATATATATATATATATATATATATATATATACTTACTATTTTATAAACCATTTATAATTGTGGGTCCCAAAAAAATTAAGACAATGTCTTAAAAAACAAGGAAATGAAACTTGAACCCTTAGATCCAATTTGTATGGTGTGGATTAAATAGATGGTAATCCAAGTGAAATGCTTGGAACCAACCAATCGCAAACTATGTTTATTCAACGTACAACTTTTAGAACATTATGTACCAATTTTAAAGTCAAACTAAGACACTAACATTGATCATCATCACACGGATCCAATACGTAGACACACTATCTACCATCTACCTATCAATTAATTTCAAATTTTGAAAATAGAAACACACGCTCCCTTCTCACAAACTCTATCCAAGGGGACAATTTAATTTTTTTTTGAAATCGGATGGCATCTCATTTTCCATCTTTCTATCTCTCGCACCAATCAAGATCTTAGACCTCCTTCTCTCCCCCTTTTGAACCCTCAATAACCGGTCACAACCATTGTGCCGCCTCATGCTTCCCTTGCCAACCACTTGATTTCAGCCATAATCAGAAACATGTAAGATTTTACACAATGGCATGTGTGTGAGGTTGCAGCTTCTCTCATCGCTGATGTTCTTGCTTCTTCACCTACCTTCCTTTCAACGACAATTACAACCACCAGAAAATATCCTATGGGTTGTAGATTTGAGATAATAACCACTTCTATTGGCTTATATTTTCGATTTCCTTATGTTTTTGTTTATTGGATCTTGCAAATATGAGTTAATAAACACTTCCTTTTGCTCGTACTCTCTGGTGTGTATCTAAAATCTATAAATGATGTTCTTGACGTGCTTTCTTTTGAGAAAAATTAACCTTGTTGTTGATCTATCTTTATTAGGATAAACTCATGTTCGATACAGAGATCCTATCAAAGTTTGAGTTGATCGATGATGCTTCTATAAGAGGTACTAATTATTGAAAAAAACATTTAAGCTACTTTTACAATATTTTGATGTTGTTGCATATTACGTAGCTGGATCTGTTGGCAGGGTTGAAGATGAAGAGTTTATTTAGTTAAATAACATTAGCCAGCGTTAACCGCAACCACCAAAGCTTGAAGTTGAAGAGTTCATAAATGTTAAGGTAACCTATCCCCTTTTAATTTTCTCTAATATTCTTTCTCATCTTCTTACGGTGAATGCACAAATATATCTCCAATGCTAGGTCTTCGATCTTCCTTCTCGACTTGTCTCTAGAAATGTGCAGGTAACCAAACCCCTTTTTTCTTCTCACTACTACCCTTCTTTTACTAACAACCATAATCCTTTATTCTCCCTGTATCCATTTCAAAGAATATTCGGGTAACACTCGATATGAAGTCTTGGGCCTTTCCCGATACCACATTAAATCGAAGGGAAAATCTATGGTTATGAGTTTTTGAATGTTTGTTGTTTTGTGGTGATTCTTGGCATCTATAACCTTTATCCAGGTGTGAGATGTATCTTATTTATCATCGTCCTACGATCTCCGACACCTTCCCACCATCGTCTCACTGGCTTTCACCATCCTTTACCTCACCAGTGACACATCCCTTACCATTGTGTATCCATTTCTGTCGACCTTGAAACCCTATTTAGTTTGGGCTGCCAATTGGTCTTATTGTATCTTCTGTATTTCCCACCCTAAAATCTAGAGTAAATTACACGAATGGTCCCTATGGTTTGAGGTAATTTGCGCGTTTGGTCCCTAACTTATTTTTTTAACTCGGAAAGTCCCTACTATTTGTTTTTATTACGCTTTTGGTCCATACTGTTTGTTTTTGTTACGCGTTTGGTCCCTGTCTTATCTAAAAATACTATTATTTAAATAGGAAAAAATGGTGGGGTGGGTAAAGTAAGGTGAGGAGGTGGGGTTGGGGGTGTGTTTATTTAAATAAATTAAAAAATCAAGGGAAAAATATTATTTTTAGGTAAGACAGGGACCAAACGCGTAACAAAAACAAACAATAGGGACCTTCCGAGTTAAAAAAATAAGTTAGGGACCAAACGCGCAAATTACCCTAAACTATAAGGACCATTCGTGTAATTTACTCTAAAATCTATGATTTTTGTTGTTTCTTTGTTATTCTTTTTGTTGGACTGATTAATTGTTTTTACTTTATTTCCTTTATTAAAGGTTTTTACAGAAGATGCATATTCTTGCTTTTGCTTGACTTCAACAGAAGATAAGGTTTGGTTATGAAAATGAGTATTGGAATCGGTTATGTAGAGCTTTGATTGTGAAAACTAAAAAAAAGGAGTGTCTTTGTTGAATTACCTGATAAGGTTTGCAGTAATATGAATATCTGAATGGGTAATGTAGAACTTTAAGGTCTTACCAAGAACTTTTTAAAACTATAATGATAAAATGTGTTATGTTGTTATACTACAATGCCATAGTTAGAAAAAACTGAAAGCAAAATGTTTTATTAAAAATAAATGTAAGTAGGATTTCATAATAAGTGAAAGCCTGTTATAGTTTATTGCATTTAGTCATATGTTAAAATCTTCAAAATATGATGTTTGTAAATTATACAATGCAATTCTCTTTTCTTGATTAATTGACTTTTCTGTTTTTCGGATTTTGTTTTTTTGATCTTTTTTAAGGGAATGAAGAATCAGATCAAAGCTTGAATCCCTTTAAATCAAAGTTGGATATTGTTGTAAATGTTCTTTTTCCTAATGATCAATAATGGATGTTGTTGTATCAATGAAGCCTACACCTATTACAAAATTAGAACATTATGTTTAGAACCGGTATAGTAGTTATTCATATAAGTTAATTTAACATTGAGATTATGCTGCAAGGTAGATTGTGGTATATACTAGCATTTTGTTATGGGGAAGTCAGATTCGTCTAAGTGGTTATTACCACTAATATGATAGGCATTAATGCTTGTAGTATAGACGTGTGCTTTCAAGCCTTTGTGTTTGTAAAAGATTACATTGATTAGAAATAAAGTTTTGTATTTATAAATGCTATTAAAATAATTTCAATTGATGACTTTGTATGTATATGCGACACACTTTTCTATAAGTTTGTACAATGAAAACATGAAAACCTCCAAAAATAATACATATATTTTTTTTTTAAATATCATGAATTTTAAATCCATCATTGTAGATGTATATCTACATCAAGTCGTACAAATGTTTGAAAGTTATGTATTCGACGAAATGTTTTGTTTAAAAAACATTGTTTTCAAAATGTTAGTATTTTGGTATGGTTAAGCCTTTTTATCGGTGAACCATTTGCATTTCGTTATGTGAACCATCCTTATGGTTCCATTTTTGTACATTTTATCCCTCATCAATATAAAATGTCAACTGTTGTGAAAACAACATAAAAATGTATGCATTATACAATGCCCGACTAGAAACATTATTTGTTCCTACGTAGATATATTTATTAAAATATGTAATCATATATTTATTATTTGATATTTTTAGATGCATATTATGTAACCATTCGCAATTAGGTGAAAAGAAATAAATTGCCGAAAGGAAACCATTCCCTGAAACTATTCGGCGTCTGAACTACTATAATTTTTTTTATTTTTAAATTTCAAATATATAAAGTATTACCGGATCACCTTTTTGTTTGTTATATATATATATATATATATATATATATATATATATATATATATATGATATCTTAGTATCTTACGAAAGAAAAATATTTATAAATGTGACAATCGAAGAAAATTAAATAGAGAAATGTCATTAACTCTATATTGCTTTTATTTAAAAAAAAAAAACGAAGTAAGAATGGGGAAGCTTGTTGTAAGAGAATTTTATATAAGATAGTACAATACTAATTGAAAACCTAATCTAATCCCCCCCCCTCTCCCCCCCCCCCCCCCCCCCCAAAAA